GGGTGATTTCTCGTTGTCGTGTTTAGGGTTTAGGCTTTAGGGGTTTAGGGTTTAGGGTTTAGGGGTTTAGGGTTTAGGGTTTAGGGTTTAGGGGCTTAGGGGTTTAGGGGTTTAGGGGTTGAGGGTTTAGAGTTAAGAAACCTTTTGTGTTTTGTGGGTTATGATCATGTCTGAGTTACAGTACACAGCTGATCTACAAGGTATATAAAGCATATATAAATATACAGATAAACATATATGTAGTCAACCCTAAACCTTCGACCTGATTCGACCCGCCAGGACGGGCTGCAGAAGGCTGCCAAGAGTTTGGAGCAGGGCGTCAAGCTCGCTGGCAAGGTGGCGCAGGCACATCACGTGGCTGGCGGTGTGTTCCTTAAGGATTCGTTCCGAGGTTTGAGGCTTTCCGGGGTTAGGGTAACAAGGGGTTTAGGATGAGGGTTTGGGCTTTGGCATATTTTCGGCCAAGGGGTTTCGGATTTGGGGCTCAGGGGTTTTAGGGGTTGGGGCCTTCGCGCCTGTCGCTTAGAGGGGAGAGCTTGAAGATTCCATGCCGCCAGTCCTTCCGCCGATCAGCTGTCCCTACATCCCTTGCGATGAATCCTTTCTGAAGCCCCTTCTTGGAGGTTCATGGGTAGTTCTAAGTAAGGTTATAAGTCCCTTAATATGGGTTATAACTATAGTGTTACCCCAATTATAACCCCACCTATAACTACCCATGAACCCCCCCAAGTAGACAAACCCCTCTCAAGACGGAAGCATCCAGCTTTCCGAGTCCCAGCCCCGCGGCCCAAAGGTGACTGAGGCAGGCCGGGGGCTTCGTCGAGCTAAGCTCATGTATGCAAACCGAGAAATAATCATCAATGACGAGCCCCTCGGCGACATCGGTACCCCGGAAGGGCACGTTCGAGCAAAGTCTCTGGTCCTCGGCGAGGAGGCCGGCCCTCATGAGGACCGAGGTGTGGCAAGCCGTACCAAACTCCACGCCCAAATGGTCTCCTTGGGCTACTACTACCGCCCCGAAACACACAAGGTAATGGTCCGCATCGAAGAGGAGGCTCGAGGGCGTGTTGGGGGAGACCTGAGCCCAACAAAGCACCGAAAAGTCCTGTGTACTCCCGACAGGAATCACCACAGAGAGTGTTCATCGTACTCAAGAATATCCGTGGGGCACACCTCAAACTCCGCAAGACAATCAATCCTTAAACCCTCCCCATGAGCTCTCCATGCTTCCCTATAAATCCTGAGCTCTAAACCTTCAGAAGCCCGTTGCCCCAAGGCTCAGAACCTAATTCCAACTCCGAGCTCTTGCGTCCTAAAAGAACCAAAGCTTCCGGAGGATGTGGCGGCAAAGGCCGCAGACCTTGGGGCGGAGGCGGTCAACATACGGGTTCTGGCTTTGAGGGATTTTGGGGTTTCGGTTTTTGTGCCTTTGGGTTTTGGGTTTTGGGTTTGGGACCTTCGGGCTTTCAGCACTGTTCTGGTGAAGGCTGGAGGTTGAGGCTTTCGGTGCGGAGAACGGAAGCCCCATGCACCCTACTGTAGCGAGTCTTCGCCGTATCGCCCAAACCTCAGTCAGATGGAGCCCTAAAGCGGTTTGCCCTTCCTGGGCATGGGGGCCGAGAAGTAGTTACACTGTACCCCCAGGCCCCCTAGCTTACTTCCGGGCATCCTTGCAGCGTTCTACGTTTTCTGAAGACGTCTCCGAGGGCCAGGGCCAAATGAGATCTCCAGGCCCAGCTCCTTTTGCCAAACGGTCTACCGGCACAGCGCTGAGTTCCCTAGGCCCTAAGTCCCTAAGCCTGAAACAAGACTACATTACCAACCTTGAAAGTCGACGACAGCCTGAGATTCGCCCGACGCCGGGTCAAGGTCTCCTTCCTTTGGAGTTACCTTGAAGGAGCTCTAACGAAGCTACCAGAAAAAGAGGATGGACTCCTTACGATCCTTTCGCATCAAGATAACTTATTGTGAGAAGCTGCCCAGCTGCCCGTAGTTGTAAGATGTTATAAGACAAGATGCTAGGTCGCTTGTTTGGAGTTCTCTAAACCCGAAACTTAAAACCCTACCCCCTAAACCCTTCAACCTAAACCCTAAACCCTCGGCATGTTTTCGAGTTCCCGACACCTTAGCCACTTCTTCACGGCTCAGGTGGGGAAGTTGGGGACCCTGGCTGTCGCACTGGCCGCCGATGCGTGGAACGTCATCAAGGAACCTTCAGAATAAGGGTTTCAGTGGTTCTTTCAGGGATTTAGAGGTTTTTGAAGGTTTTCATATCGGGGCTCTGCGAAGCAGTTCCTTTTTCAAGAGTTTCTACATGGGTTATGCGGTATTGATATATGGCCTTTCTAACCGGAACAGGGCTTTTAGGGTGTCTGTATGGAGACATAGGAGGGAATATGACAACTAAGTTCTCTGACCTGTATAGTAACTGCTTGTTCCGATGTTGACTTAGTTTCGTCTCCTGGCCTCTACTTGGAGGTTCATGGGTAGTTATAAGTGAGGTTATAATTAGGGTAACTATAGTTATAATCCATATTAATTTTTTCTTTGCCCTACTTATAACTACCCATTAACCTCCAAGTAGGCCTACATCTTCAGTTTGGGCTTTCTGGCGGGTCTTCAGGGTTTGGATTCCTGAACCCTAAACCCCAGATGGGTAGTTCTCCAAATAAGAGGATTTTTTTGGAACCCCAAATGGTACGGCACGCTTGTAAAAAGGGATCCTAAAACGGGAAAACCAGGTAGAGAACTACTCAAATTCTTCCAACCCTGAACCCCAACCCTAAAGGTGTTCCCGGGAGAGATTTTTGTTTCTGAGCTCCCGGTCGCCAGGAGCTCGTCGGCTGCTTTCTCAAGATCTTCTCATCGATGTGTACCTTATTTCTGGAGGAGCATCGGGGCCTGTATGATACTAGGTTACTAGGTTTGTATAAGGAGTATACGTCATGTTGCTGTGCGCTTGTAGGTTTAAGGTTACATGCAGGAAACGGGCCAGCTTGCGTTCAGTTTCCGCGTGCATTACCCATAGGCATAGGCCCCATCGTAGTTGCTTTTTGTGGCTTATATGTCGGATCCTATTAGGGAGCCCCAAAAAGGAATTACCATGGGGCCTTATGGGTAGATGAGACATTCGTGCCTGGAGGATGCCTGCGACTGCGATGCAGGGAGCTACCTGACCCTGTCCACCTCGAAGATCTCCGCGAGGTTCCACGAGACACGGAACCCCCCAAAGCACTGAAAGCTCTAAATTAGGGTCCCTTTTTGAATCCCCAATATAGTACGGCACCCCTTTAAAAAAGGACCCTAAAAGGGACCCTAATTTAGAGAACTAATTACCCCCATAAAACCTCTCACATACTCCGCCTGAAGCCCTAAAGCCTAAAGCCCTAAGCCGCTACACCCTGAAGCCCTAAACCATTACTGCAAAGTCCACCCTAAACCCCAAGGCCACCCCCCTGGTCCTAATTCGTCTATTCTACCATATTTTTTAACATATAATATATATATATATATATATATTTTTTTTTAACAGATGTATGTATATATATATATATATAATCTTAAGTTACTTATGGTATTTCTTATCTTTTCTTGGATTGTCTTATGTGAATTCGTCTCTCCGCCAGGTGCGTCTTCAAGGCCGGCGGCTTCACCCAAGGATTCGGCCTCAATGCCTCTGCCGGCGGCCACTTCGGCGAGGCCAAAAACTGCCCCGGGTTCCGGCAGTTGAGGGTTGGAGGGTTTTGGGCTTACTTGGAGGTTCATGGGTAGTTATAAGGGTAACTATAGTTATAACCCATATTAGGGGACTTATAACCCTCCTTATAACTACCCATGAACCTCCAAGTAGGGTTGAGGGGTTTGAGGCAAAGGGTGTGGGTTGTCCGAGATGCTCAAGGGGCCGGACGGGCTAAAAAATCGTTTGGGGCCTGAAGGCAGACGAAAGCAGCAGCGGCAAGCCGAAGTTGCCGGGAAGCGCCTTGGTTGTGATTGGTCGAGGCTTGGCTCCGCAACTCCTACAAAAGTGCTCTGTTTTGTTTTACGCCTTCCTTGTACAGTTATGGTATCGGGTCTTGAGAATCCGAATCTTCTCAACTCCGAGCCCAAGAATTCTGGGCCTTCACTGAATCCAACACCCCTAAGATGCAAAGTCGTATGCCCTAAAAAGCCTGAACCCCGAAACCCCTTTGAAATGAGACTATGAAGCCCCTTTCTAGCCCCATTCATATATACATATATATATAGATATATAGATATATACATATATATATATATACAGAAAGCGTCGCACTGCAGGCCCGTGTTTTGAAGCTTTCTTTTTCTCCATACTATAGGCTAGGATGTTGCAAGAGTCTTGCATCTATTTGTTTCTAA